TGCAGTGGCAGCTGTGTATAGTTGTGACGGAGACCATAGGACCCACAAAGCCAAAAATATGTACTGTCTCGCCCTGTATAGAAAGTTTGCTGACCCCTACTCTAGCCCATAGTTTAATATAATTTTAACATATGATCTTGCCTCAGTGAATTTATCCTTATTGACATGATGTGGCAGCAAGTGTCAGTTCTTCTCTACACCAATGTTATCCTGCTTCCCCTGAATGCCTAGTCTCACTGGTATCTACCCCAACTGCAAAGGCTTTCTCTTCCCTCTCTGTGCTGGACAGGGAGCTCAGCCCTGTTCCTTGATTTCCACCCTCCAACACAGCACACAAGTCAGTATGTAAGTCGTGGCCAAAAGTTTTGGGTGAAAATAAGGAAACACCTTTGTAGTGAGGACTAGTCACCTATCTCTGAAAATCCCTCTGGCAACCCCTCCTGCCCCCACTGGAAAGACCTCCTGGATCATCTTGCTCTTTAGGACTTAGCCATATTGTCTGGCCCATCTCTTCCTCAATATCCACCTTATATCTGAATCCCCCTCACTTGATCATGGAGAACAATCATGTTCTCCATTCCCAACTTACATGGTATACCTGCACATCCTCTTACACCTGCATGTACCAGTTATTGGACAATAACTAGAAAGGGAAACATTCTGTGTGTGTATGTGAGAGAGAGAGAGAGAGAGAGATTCAGGGGGAACCTAGGCTTCCCTAGGCTTCAGGTTTCTACAAGGAGAGATATCAGTTTGTGGAATAGTTATGACTTCTCTCTAACCCCTCACTCATTCTTCCCCAGGGAGAAAAGATGTCTAATATTATTGATATATTTGGGGTAAGGACTGTGCATGTTGCTCCTTCCTCAGTCTCTTCCTTCTTGAGACACAGCTGCCTAGAGGTTCATATTCTGGTCTTGCAGTTCAGTGGAATAAGTTCAGCTCAGGGGAGTGGGGCATCTGGTCCATGGGGTAGGACTACTGATCAAGGGTGGCATTTGACGAGCAGAATAACTTCCATAGGTGGAAGCTTTTGGAGGGCCAGGCCATGGATCTGAAGGTGGGTTTGCCATTAGGAGACACTGAAATAAGGATCTGAGTGTAAGTGGTTTACCTGGAAGGTGAGTTTGGGAAGCACCAGTAAGGGGTGGGGGAAGGGAATGTAGCCAATTAAAGATATATTATCAAGCCAGCCAGCACTGTGGATGATTAGAATGTAATCCCACAGTAGGCTCTGGAAAATGGTGTGGAATTTGCACCTCAGCATGATCCTACTGGAGCAGTGAGGGAACTGAGGTATCTATACTCTTGGCAGTCATTGACTGAGGGCTGCTCCTTGAGGGGGTGAATTTCTGGCCTACCCCACATCATAAAGTAGCTTTCTTCAGCTTTAGGAGAAACCATCAGGCAAAGAAATGCAGATACAGTTGGAAGTTCTTCAGGAGCTCCCTGAAGCTGTAACACCAGAGGGAGATGGATGGGGCTAGAATACTCACTAGCAGAGACTCGGATGTCAAAGGGTGAATTTGGCATCTCCTTCTTAGTTGTGCTTTACTCTTATTGTGTGACTTAAGGATTGAGAGAATCAAATTTTGGGCTTTGGCAGAATTTGTGTTCTGATCATCTAATCTTATATCTAGCTATTAGATGTGGCTATTTTCAGAGGTCATGGGTCCTGGCCCATCTCCCAAGGGTCCCCTACAGCTTCCTCTCTGTAGGTCCTCTGTATAGGGCTACCTGCCTGCCAGACCCCAGCTGCATCTTCAAGAAAGGGCTGTATTCCCATGACCAGCAGTAGCACCTTTAGTAGCCCAACCATCTCATGTCCATGTGAAATGGCATTTCTACTCCTTCTTACTTTGGATTCTTCTAGGAGAGAAGCTAAGGCTGAGAAGAACTAAAAAATCCAGCAATTAATTGATGTGCTCAGTGGTCCAAAAATCCTTTGGAGAAACAGATGGTGTTAACTCCATCAAAATTGGTCAGTTGGACTTGGTGATGGAAGGGCATAGAGGGCCCGAGGGAGGAAAGGGAGAGGGAGGGAAAAGCTGTCACAAGACCATGGATGCTAGAAAAGCAGCTTTGATCAGAAATGAGAAAAAGAGGGAAGCTGAGGACAAGATAAGAAAAGTGAGGAGATCGGGGCGCCCGGGTGGCTCAGTCGTTAAGCGTCTGCCTTTCGGCTCGGGTCGTGATCCCAGGGGATCGAGCCCCGCATCGGGCTCTCTGCTCGGTCGGAAGCCTGCTTCTCCCTGTCCCACTTCCCCCTGCTTGTGTTCCCTCTCTCGCTGTCTCTCTCTCTGTCAAATAAATTAAAAAAAAAAAAAAAGAAAAGTGAGGAGATCACAACATAACCATAGGGCCAAACAGCAAAAACAACAAAAAAGGTAAAGAACTCTCCTGGTCAAAAGAGTAGAACTAGTAGACAGAATGAGAAAGAGGAAAAGAGTTGATGGAAGAGAGGAAAAGGAATTACACTGAACAAGGTGTGTTCTCCTACATCATACGGGATCAAACCATCCAGCCATGTGGATTCAAACAGAGGTCTGTGAGAAGCAAAGAATAGTCCAAGAACTGGTCCAGTGGGCACTCTCTTAGTTCTAAGTAACAACAGAAGACTTCTGGAATAGTTTAAATGTTTGCTACTCAAAGAGTGGTCCACGGACCAGCATCAAGCATCCCCTGGGAGCTCATTAGGAATGCAGAATCTCAGGTCCCACCCCAGACCTACCAAATTAGACTCTGCATCTTAACACAATCCCCATATGATCTGTGAGTATAGTGAAATTTGAGGAGCACTGGATTAAACCAAAATATTATGGGATGTCTCATGGACTCTGAGGACAGGGATCTAGCAAGACCTCAAGAACAAACTAGAACCAACAACCTGAATACTATCAAGATGTTCCATCTATCTCTTGCCTCTACTTCTGAACAGTAAAGTCCAATCATAAAAGTGAAGATCAAACTCTTGGGAATCAAATCTTTCAACTGCCAGGTTTCTGTACTTTTAAAATGATCATTGTGGATAAAATCAAAGCAGAGTCCATAGAGAACAGAATTTGCACACTTGGTTACACTATGAGGAGAAGGTTGAATTTCTTTTAGAACTAAATGGAGACATCTGTTTTGTTTAAATTAAGGATCTGTAAGTACCAGCTAGGGACTGAGTTGACAGCCATTTCTATAATAAAGTAATAAATCATGGGGATGGTTAAGGAAGCAAGGAACCCCACATTCTTGCTTTGTTCAACCAATTAAGCAATAAGCCATCTGGGTCCTTTTGTTAATTACTGTCAAACACAACTTACACAATTGAATTCAGCCTTTTATTTAATTATATTAATTTATTCCAGCAACTTCAAATACTCACAATGCCAATAATTAAGTTCATTAAAAAAAATAGAAGTCTTGTTTAATTTTAGTTTGCAACTATTAATATCATTTACAAGGTTGCCATCTGAGAATTTTTAGCTCCATCTCAGCCTCAGGATGTTAGGGGAATCTGTTTTAAATATAGACATGTCAGAAGGAAGAAGACAGTGGCTAAAATCTCTTCTCTCAATGGGATGATGAATCTATCCAGATCAGCTCTGCCCAATAGAACTATTTGCAATGATAGAATGTTCTATATCTGTGCTCTCCAATACAGTAGCCACTAGGCATGGGCAGCTATTAAGCACTAGAAATGTGAACAGTACAACTGAAGAACTGAGTTTTAATTTTTTTTTTAATTTTAATGCATTTACATTCAAATAGCCACATGCGGCTAATGGCTACCATAGACAGCACAAGTCTGGAGTGTATTCTGAGGAAGGAGAAATGCAGTGGGCCATTGACTTAAACTGGTGGAAAAAAAAAATACATAATTATGATAGGCATTGTTTAGAAGCCCTCACTTCCTACCTAGTTTTTCTTATTTGAAACACACTGAATTCTGAGATAGCCCAGAGGAGATCAGTATCTTTGAAGGGAGGTTTCTAAGCTGACCATATGGAGAGTGAACTCCACTTGGAGGAGAAATAGGCATAAATGGTGTCTTCTTAACAGCAGAACCAACCCCACTCAACACCTCCTTATGACCGAACTAGGTAGGCCAGCACAGCAAGGAGAACCATTTAGCTCTTGCTAGCACTGGCTCGGCTCTAGTGGAAGCATGTTCCTCCCCCACTTGTGAACATTCAACCTGCGGGCACATTTGGGGGTCCCAGGCTCAGAGACGGCCACGTCAGTCCTAATGGGACATTAAGACCCAACTCTGGTTCCTTTCATATGAATTTTGGCTCAAATGCAGGCATTTCCCTTCTGGGAGGCTTACCTCTTTGTGGAGGTTGCTCTTTCTGATCCAGTCAATGCAAACCTTATAACAAGGCATCAGCAGAGTTTCTCAACTGTATACACTTTGTTATTGGGAACGCTCAGTCTGAGCTGACCCTTCCAATAGCAACGACTAAAGAGAAATACATTGCATGAGATTCTGGTTGGGGTTATCCAAGGTAGAGAAGGGCTAGGGCAGGGTGAGTGGAGGTAGAAAGTATGGAGGAAATTCTCATTTACATGAAAACATCCTATTCCAGGTCTGCTGGCTCTTGCCAGCTGCCAGGTTGAGCCAGGCTCTTCGTCTCTCTTCAACCCAACTCTTTGCTCAGTGACTTCTCTTCCTTCTTCCGAGCTATGGCTCAGCCAATGAACATGGAATTTGTCCTAATGAGCTTAATCCAAAGTTTTGGAGATTTCAGGCCTTCACAACCTCTTCACACTTTAATTTTCATGGTTGGCTACACAGATGATCCACGGTAGGGCCATTTGCAAAAAAATTATTAATTGGATTTATGTATCCTTGGAGGTGTTGCCCGAGACTGTCTATACCTCTTTCCTTTATCAGCGATAAAAGCAATTATCAAGTGCTCGGTGGAAAAAAACAAAACAATCTTTTGTACTATGTAATGACCATTTATCAGTGATGAAGACAACGAGACAATGTTTCCCTTTTTTTTTTCTTTTTCTAAAACATCCAGAAGTCAATGCAAAAAGGTGCAAGAAGGAAAGACTTTCTATATTCATTCACGGAGCTTTCTTCTCTACTATCACCAGGAATACAAACACAAAAGGATCTGCTTCATGAAATATACATGCTCTTTTAGTTCTCTTGGGGCTGACTTGTGATGACTAAACTTCTCTTTTCCCTCTGACACTGGCATTCATCATTTACCCACACTGCTGATGTTGTCAAATCGCCACAGCTGGCTGGCTTTTCCATCACACTGGCGCAAGTACAAATCTTTACTGTTTTCCTGCACCACAGCTTCCATGCATTTCCCAGAAAGAACGTGGACAATCATTCCATTCTGAAAAGAGAAAAAAAAGGAAAAGGAAAAAAAAAGAAAGAAAGAAAAAGAAATGAAAACCAGTCAGTTCCCTGCAATCAGTAAGCAAAGAAGGATATTTCTAAGCTTTGTGCTAATCATTATGAGAATTATAGAGGTGGTGTGAACTGGCCTGGTAAGGAATTGTAGTATGTTGGTTAATATAAAATATAACTTAGGTAGCCCTAAATATAAATATTGTTTGGAAACTTGAGGTCATTAATTAAATTATCTTTATTGAGATTGTATAATTGTGCTATTTCTTAGAGAGTTCTGGTTAGTAGCATGCCAGTGTATAGAGCATGTTCAGTCTTTATACCATACTGGTGACATTCACTGTTATCACTGTATTTGTACATTTTTGCTTTCAGAAAGATTTAGTTTGATCTCTGCTCCCTGTGAATCCTGCAATTTAGGACTTCCGCCACCAGGTTGCTGTAGAGAATAAAAGCTCAAGGATACACAGAGGGCCCAAGTCAGTCATGTTTAGAGGATGATAGCTGTTTCCTGCTCAAAATCCACCAGATTTAATATTGAATCTAGCCATCCCTTTTTCAACAAAAAATTGATTTATTTTTGAAAAGCTAAACATTTTCACCAACAAGGCTGATAATGTCCATTTGTTTATTTTTTGAGATAAAATTCACATACCATAATATTCACTCTTTAAAAGTATACAACTTTTGGCTTTTAATATATTCACAGGGTGTATGCAAACCTCACTGTAAAAAGAAACCCACTATCCATTAACAATCACTTCCTGTCCCTCCCTCCTTCTAGCTCCTGGAAATCACTAATTTGCTTTCTGATTAATGGATTTGTCTATTCTGGATATTTCCTATAAATGAAGTCATATAAGATATGGCTTTCTGTGATTGGCTTCCTTCACTTTGCATGATATCTTCAAGGGTCATCCATGTTGTAGCATAAATAGTACCTAATTTCTTTTTTTTTCTTTTCATTGTGGTAAAAACAGATAACCTAAAAGTTACCATCTTAACCATTTTTAAGGGTAAAGTTTAGTAGTGTTAAGTATGTTCACATTGTTGTGAAACAGATATTCAGAACTTTTTCATCTTTCAAAACTGAAACTCTGTACTTATTAAACACCTCTCCCCTCCTGACCAGCCCCTGGAAACCACTATTTTACTTTGTTTCTATGAATTTGTCTACTTTAGATACCTTATATAGATGGAATTGTACAGTATTTGTCCTTTTGTGACACATTTATTTCACTTAGTGTGATGTCCTCCAGATTCATCCATGCTATAGCACGTGACAGAATTTCCTTTCCTTTTAAGGCTGAATAGTATTCCATTATATACATATATATGTATATATATATACATATATATATACATATACATACATACACACACCACATTTTGTTTATCCATTCATCCATCTTTGAATGCTTGGTTTGCTTCTACCTCTTGTCTATTGTAAAAAGTGCTACTATGAACAGTACTTCATTGCTTTTTATGGCTGAACGATAATACTTTAAATTTTAAAGTCTTAGTTTTTAATGCTTGAATTATACTGGGTGAATCTTACTAATCTTTCCCTTATTATTTTAAAATGTATCTTGTAACCATAGGACTTGGTTAGAATGATCCTTTATGATCATTCATAAAGGACCTTAACTTGGTTTCCAAGATATCTTTGAGCATGCGTGAGCCCCGAGTCTTAGGTTCACTTGTCACCAAGTAGAGAAGGAAGAGCCTTTCTACTGCTCCTAAAACCATATCACTGAGGTAGTTGGCTGCTTCTGTAACATGCTCCATGGTCTTACTGGTGACCTGAGCTAATAAACTTCAAAAAGGGACTGTCTCCTCTCTCTGCCAGGATCACCATCAGAGCTTTACAGAGATGTGGCAAATCAGTACGCTTCAAGATGCTGGCGGTCCAACTTTGCTGCAAGGTTGGCTTTACTTCCTCCTGAGGCTTTGATGCCAAGTCACCAAGTTCAACAGCAGTGGCACTGGCCTGTATGGTAATACTTGAGCTCTTGGAAGACCCTGGGACACTGTCCCAGCTGGAGGCACTGCTGAATGCTTCCTGAACAGATTACTTACCTCTTGGAAGTCCCAGTGCTGTTGATGGATAGCAGGGCCTTCTTCTATACACTTCTGAAGAATCACCTGCTCTTGCCTGACATCAAAGCACAGGTGCTGTGGGCTGCCAAAGTGGATCTCCTTCCTGCTAGTGTGCTTCAGGTGCTGGGACAGGGGGAATGGTTGTTAGCATAGCTAGAAGGAGATCTTCTCCGAAGCTGGAGATGAAGGAAGCAGAGCTCACAATAGGGCTGAGGTCTAGGGCCAATCTTTAGATTCTATGAGGGTCAGCAATACCATATCTCATAGTCAAATCTACACATACAATGCTAGACTAGACCTAGCTTCTGAAATCTCCACATGCCGCCTGCTGTTGCATTCATATTTATACGTTCTGGCATGTGTCTCCATTATTCTATTTACTGCATCATAGGTGAGGCCATAAAGAATGCTGTGTGTTGTGTGAGTGCACTGGAAGAGGAGCAGATGAGGAACACTCTTGAGGCCCACAGTGATCTCCTTCTGGAGAGATCTGACCTGGCCTGTAACTAATTCTCCTGCTGTCTGTTGCAACTGCTGACTCTCGCTCATGGTCATTTTTTCCTCCCATGTTTTGTAGTATTGGATGTGTGTATCTTTGCAGAGGGTCTTTAACTTTAGGAAGCCTGTGTGGCCCGGCTGGAGAGGACTTTCCGACAAAACCATTTTCTATTCCTGCCAGGTACAGCCTGAATGAATTTTTATATTAATTTTGTGGTTGGGAGACAAAGTTGGCTTCATGGACATGCGATGTGTGCATTCACGTGGGGCCTCATGCCTAGAAGGGTTTAATGTTTTTGGTTTAATATACTTGGTTTAATGCTCTATTGTTACTATCTTGAAATTCTTAATAAATGAATGATGGACCCCACATTTTCATTTTGCACTGGGCCCCACAAATTAGGTAGGCAGTCTTGCTTCAGGATTCCCACACCACACATAAATTTGAAACCTAAACCCATATGAGATGCAGGCTTATGGTTAAAAAACTTTTTTTGAAGTAACTTTCTCCTATACAAAGACCCTGTGGAGGCAGACAAGTTTCCTTGTCATCTTCCTGTGCCATGGGTGGATTTTTCTAGTCAAACTTTTGTCAGATAGGTTACTCTTTGAAGGTCAAAGTTGGCTTTATATGATGTCTCACTTCCAACTTCTCACCTGTCACAGGCTGTAGGCTCTCACTAACTACTCCTGCATGTAGCTAATGCCTCTGGATTCCCCAGGTTCCCTCACTTCCGGCAGGATAGCTTGGCCAATGCCCTATGGCTCTATTTTAAGCTGCTTCTTGATTTTTGGCCCCTGGAGATTTCCCTCTGTTACAAACTCAGTTAGTTATGTGTTTCTTCGTAATTTTTATATGGCATATCTAGGTGCTTTTAGGAGAAGTACTTTCAGCTTATCTAGTTCATGATTTTGCTACATATACAAGTCCTTGCTAGTCCCCTCCTCCCCACCAAGAATCAGAAAACCCACAAAAGCTAACATTCTGTTGGCACGCAGGAAATTGCATGATTCCCAGCTGCAGAGGACAAACCAAGACTCGGAGGGGTTAAGAAGGCTTCTGATGTCATATAGCTAGAAAGTGGTGAGCTGTTTCTACCACATTACTTGGCTTCCTCACTTAGCACTTTGTATCTATGTCTTCCTCCCCTGTGCCAGGTGTGAATGCCTTTTGGTGTGTTCTGGAACACTGGGAAAGGCCAAAACTGAAAGAGGCCACATGGATCCTGAGCACCTGCTTCGCCATGTGCCCTCCAGGTGTAGACCTTCCTCTGGGATCCCAGAGCCCGCACGGCCAAGCCTGGCCTCACAGGTCCTCCCTGCAGGGCTGGACTCCAGACCCTCCAAGACATGTTCTGGAGTTTGCCCTCAGGCTCTTGGGGCCTTACTTGACTCATTTGATCAATATCTCCAGCAACTTGCACTTTGTTATTTATTTTTAATAGAAGCCTTAACGCAAAGGCCCCTGTCACAGGCTGAAAGAGATTTGGGGGCAGGCTAGGCTTTCCAGGTTCATCCAAGTTGTGAAAAGAGTGGACCCACCAACCCTCAACCAGCATCACTGAGGCTTCCCACCACCTTGGGAACTTATTGCATGATGGAAATTTTGAAGAAAATCTATACCTTAAGATACAAAGAGACCTTCCTGATAATCAAGGGGCCTACATGGGTACTGTAGCATCTAGACCCTGCAGCATCTAGAGCCTTTCCCTGACTCAATTACCTTCTTCTCTCCTCAGACAATAGAGGGCATGAAGTTTACCAACCCCTGGGGTGCTACAGGAGGAGACGTGGTTCTACTCTTTGACTCTTTCCTTTAGCTTCTGGGAATTATGAACCAGGGGTTTTAGAGCCCCCTGGACCATAGGGAGCTTCAGGGGATCCATGAACCCTGGAAATTGTTAAAATTTTGTCCAGATGTGCTTATATGTGTTTTTTTCTGGGAAGTTGTCCTTAGAATTCATCACCTTCTTAAAGGAACCATGTGACTTGTAATAAAGAGTCTGACTCCATGTCTGATGTCTGACCTCTGAGCTTTCAAGCTCCACCTGCTTCACCTTATCCCCTTGCTGCACTTTGGGGCAAGCTCATAAGAAGCCAAGTGCTTTCCTCTTTGGTGCTGGCAGGAAGTTCAAACCAGGTAAGAGCAGCCGGAGTTTGGGAATACTCACCTGGCCCATCCCCCGACCACATAAGAGCCAAAGCCAGTTGCTGGCCTGCCTGGAAGCCTGCCCTGCTCGCCCCCAGAAAGTCTCATTGTGTGAATCATGCTTTCCATTCTCTCTTGTTACATGTGTGGAGTCATCAGTCTCCAGATCTGAACCAGATTTGGGGTCAAGGGTTGATCCTGTCCCCACGGGGCAACCACCAGATATAACCTAAAAAGGTTAAGAACCACAGGCAGGGAATGGACGAGCCACTGGACTGACCCATCCTTATTAGACCTAGATTTTAACCAGGCGCTACCTGGACTTCTCAGTGTTGATTTCAGATTGTCTGCCCTGTGGTGAGCCATCTATATCCAAGAATAGGAACTCCAGCTCCGGGAGAGGCCTGTCCCTGTGGGCAGGGTGACTGCTGGGCATGTTCAGCATCTCTCTATGCTGCCCTAGGGCCATAAGCTTTTCCTGTCACCAGGGCAGACCCATCCTTGTCAGGTCCTGTCAGGTCCAACCGCTCTGCAGAGTGGGGCCTCAGGGGAAAGCCGTGCAGTTTGTCTTCCTTGCTGCTTCTTGGTCCCTCCCCAAGCAAGTCATCAGAGCACTGTATTCGGGGGAGAGGCCCCACCAGCCCTGGCATCCCAGGAGAGCTTCTGTGCTATGCCCCTCTGCTCCCAAGGGGCATTTGTACTCTCTGCTTTCCTTCTGACCATGGAGGAAAAGGCTTCCTCCCTGTGGTAGGCATTTCACAGACCAAATTGCTCTGTGCATGGGAAATGTTCTGAATGAGGCCAATGCTCTGAAGCTGGGAGCCAGTGACTCCATCCGTGTGTAAGCTCTCCTCTGGCAAGTGGAGCATGGTCACCTGAGGCCGTGAGGCCCGTCTGCTCCAAACCCAGCCCTCCTTCTCTGCTTCACACCGACACACAGCCACAAGCGTGCACACACACACACACGCATGCAGAGACACCCACCCAGACAGACACAGACAGACAGACACACACACACACCAGACTCCTGTGGTGCCCTAAAGATCCCCCACTTTGTGCACTCTGGCTCCCACAGAGCCACATGAAGTTCCTGAAAGCCACAACACATCTGCTTGGGAGACCTCAGAATCAGGGGACTGAGACCAGACTGTAACCACAGTCATGGGTTTGAGGGACCACTGCAAGGAGGGAACACTTTCTGGGCTCCCCTGGCCTCCTCAGTGCTTCCGTGTCTACACTGCCCACTCTGGTCCTAACTGGCTGAGGATCTCTGGCTGGTCCAGATGTTTCAGGCAGTGCCCTGGTGGAAATGTGCGTGCACACGGTGGTTCTCTTTGACCTCTGATTATAGATGTTTAATTTAAATGAGGAGATTTTCCATAAACCCTGGGTTTCAAATGTCTTTTAAAATTTGGGGGTGGGACACCTGGGTAGCTCAGTCAGTTAAGTGTCTGCCTTCGGCTCAGGTCATGATCCCGGGGTCCTGGGATGTAGCCCTACATCAGGCTCTCTGCTTAGCGGGGAGTCTGCTTCTCCCTCTCCCTCGGCTCCCCCTGCTTGTGCTCTCTCTCTCTCTGTCAAATAAATAAGTAAGTAAATAAATCTTTAAAAAAATCAGGGGGTGGTGTCATAATACTGGGCCCACTTTCATACAGAAGAGAAGACATTTGTTGAGGCTGGGGGACAGGTGCCACTGTGCTTTCAGATGGGCACATGCTCCTTAGGCCCAGCAGCCTCCACCCAGCTCACTGTGCTTACCTCCTTTCCCTGCCTGATCCCTGGCGTATCTGAGCTTGCAACCCCTGGGCTAGTGACTCTCTCAGCCTCAGTTTCCTCATCCGTTCGATAAAAGCATCCATTTCCCTTAGGCTTGGATGCTTGTATTCTCTGATGATGGCCCGTGTTTGTGCGTGTGCCTGGAGGCGGGGTGGGCAGAGCTGGCCGGGTCAGCGGAGTGGGGGACATGGGACCCCTGAAAGGTGGTGCCCCAAAGGGAAGTGAGGAGCATCCCAGGAAAGACCACTCACAGGTCTGTGATGCTGAGAACTCCAACTACCCACCTGTTGCTGCCGGCTGTCGCTGCAAAGAGCTAGCGTCATGGCGCAGCCCAGGATGTCCCCTTCCGCCTGGCAGTCTACACAGAAGCCAAGTCCGGTGTTGTGGAGCTGAAAGTGGACACCCGTACAAAAGTGAACCCCGCCATCCACTGTAAAGACACCCTGTGTCAGGCGCCATTCCTCTCCCCTCTCCCTGCAGTGTAGCTCAAGGGGTCAGGTTCAGACCACAGAAATGAGCAAGGTCAAGCTGAGGCCTCTAATCCCAAGGGACAGGAAGCAGGACACACCTGTCATGATGACAGGCCCTGAAACAGGTTTCGCGGCAACCCAGTCACCTCCCTCAGGGTAGGCGTGAGAGCCTCTGAGGCCCCATGGAGCTTGGGACTGTGTGGCCTGGGTCATGGTCAAACTCCTGAACATCCAGTTTCTGTCTTGGGAAGCTGCCTACCCCCTCCCCACCCCATCTTCCCTGGGGTCTCTCTTGCCTTTCCAGAGAACCTGGGCCTGCACTCAGATGGGTACAGCTCAGGGTAGATGTTGGCCAGAAACCAGTGGAACATCCGACAACCCAGCCTCCTTTGCAGCTGCAGGCGTTCTGTGCAGTCTGGCTTCTCAGCCTGAGGGAGGAGAAAGATACGGGCAGTGAGAGGGAAAGCCTGCTATTTACCATCATGCATGTGCGGACAGAGGTGACTGAAGAACCCGGACAGAGAGAGGGGACCGAGGCCACCATTCCCCAGGGCTGCAGACAGCAGGGAAGGTCATGTGTTGGGAGAAGAGGTTTAAAAGGGACAGAATAGGATGGATGCTCTCTACAGAGAGTTGTGGAGCCAGCAACGTAGGTGTGAGGCCACTCCCTCCCCACAATCCCTCACATCTTCAGTCGGCAGAGAGCATTATATCTGTGCTCTAAGGACTTTTCTGTGGAAGCCGGCAAAACGGTGGGGCTTTGCAGCTAGGCTGCTGCGGCACAGCACTATAATGAGCCTTATGGAGGCAGGAACTGACCCAAAGGCCACTCAGATGAAATAAGCTGGGAAAGTGTGGGGTGGGGTGGAGACAAGGCAAGTTTGCTTTTCTTCCCCTCCAAGTGCCCAATCTCCTCCATTAACGAATCATTCCTTTGGGCGACGCTATCCCCTTACCTTGAGATTTTCCTTTATGATACAGTTGTCCTGGGATGGATATCAGGTAAGTCCTTAACACTTTAGTATAAATTTATGTATTTGGCTATATTGATAAGATATAAGGAAACCTACCCAAACATTTGGTACTAAGTCCTGGATATTTTTAGGGAAGACAGGTGTGCTAAGGAGTGGTTGGAAAGATCAAAAACAGAAGTGTGGGGTTCCTGGGTGGCTCAGTTGGTTAAGCATCTAACTCTTGGTCTCAGCTCAGGTCTTGATCTCAGGGTCATGAGTTCAAGCCCCACATTGAGTACTTAATAAAAGAGAGAGAGAAAGAAAATATTTCCTGGGGTGAGGAGAGGAAAGGAGAGAGGGCTCGGACAAGAAGTTCATTTCAGAGTTCCAGCTTGATGGCCTCTAGGCTGGCAACTAGACACTGGGCTAACAGGCTATATGCAATGAGTTTGGTTTGATTCAGCTTCTTCTTTTTTTTACTCCTCAGATGGAAATGTTGGGGGGAGTAAGGTCTGAATCCTCCATACTGAAATGCTCTGGGCATGCTTTCAAACTGTGATCCCAAGCACCTGGCTCAGAAATGCCCAAGGAACTTGTTAAAAAGGCAGGTTCCTAGGCCCTACACCAGAGACTATGGTTCAATAGGTTGGGGCAGCGCCCTTGGAATCTGCATGTTAACCATCTTTCCTGGTGAGTTTTATTCACAGGAAGTTTGAGAACAGCTTCTCTGGGGCAAGAATGTCTTGTTTATTCAGCATATGTACCTACCATTAAACCAAAGAGATCTATTACTCTTTCCTCTAAGGAAATTAATATAAGTTTTTTATAGTTTCTCAGCATTCTGAATGTTCACTTGAGACCTCGCCAGCCATTCTATAGGGCTGGACTTTGCTCCCAGAGCAGGAATATTCCTTCATGCATATTCCATCACCTTCACCTTTCTTGGTAATGAAACAAACTGGCGAATCTACCCAGCCCTTGTCTGACCTCAAATGAGGAGGCATGCTGACAATGAACTTGCTCTTCTGTATAACCTTGCCTGAGAGGAAAAAACAAGAGAATGTCAACTCTTCCAACAGTGAAACCCCGGCCTTGTCTTTCGGGTGCCCAGAATTTCTGTATCTCAAAATCCACGTGAGGGTTTTGGCGGGGGGGCGGGGGGGGGAGGAGATGGGATGGAAGGATAGAAATTATAGAATGAAATTAATTTTTAATTATTTAAATTTAAAGTAAATGCATAAAGTAAATGCCTCCACCTTCAGGGAGGCAGTGATGTTATTAAAATCTTGACACTGATGTCAGCAATAGGACATTTCCAAAACATGAATTAATAGGAATGTTCAAAAGAAAAAAAAGAAGGCCTTCTCATTTACCAGTAGGAGGTGCCATTGTCCTTGTGAAAGTCATCAGATAACAGATGGCGAGATTTGTGGATCAGAGAATAGAGCACACCCAGCAGAGTAGCCTGGTGAGGGGCTTGTGGGAGTTGTCCCAAGACCTTTGTGGGTCACAGAAACCTTACCTTTGGAGCCCCTGCTCCCAGCATGGCAAACATTAATGGGAACCCACATCTCATGTCGAATAATATTTATGTGTTACCCCATAAGAATTGAACTGAATGGCAGTTGAAAATGCACTGCTTATGGACATTTAATTAAATGTTTAAATTTTTAATTTTTCTGTGGCTTGTTTTGGATCTTTTATGTTTATTTTTATACTTTATTTGTTTCATGTCTTGGGTAATTTCATAGCCTTGAGCACTTTGCCCAAGATGAAAAGGCCCCCTGAGACCTGTTACTGCTTATTCCCTGCCCAATCTGTCCTCTGCCCCAATCTGTTCTGTGACACATCCCATAGATGTCACCCCACTGCCATCAGGAGGCTCCAGGCCAAGACCAGCTGGGATGCCCTGACACTTTGAGAGAGATGCTTGGGAGAGACAGGCAGCCCCGCCTAGTAGAGGAGGCACTTGAGAGAGGCAACTTAAGGGAAGCACAAGCCGAAAGCTTGTATTATCCCCTCCAGGCTAGAGGGAGAGGCACTCCCTGGCTCACCCTCCCGCGGGTGGCCGAGTGGCGGGTCAAGAAGACCCTGCCAGGATCTCTCCTTACCTTGCTCAAGGAGAAGGCCTCTGGGCTGTGCCTGTAGAAGGTTTCTTTGAATGAGCCCAGCCAAGTCTCAGCAATGCGAACCTTGTTCCGCAAAGCAGCCTCCTGATCAAGGGGGGAGTGGGTTTCCTGATTCCGGTAGATGTGCCCCACCCGAGAGCAGGGGAGGATTTCAACGGAGCCACCACAGAGCCAGACCTGCCAGAAAAGGAGAAAAATAAACATCTGAACACCACTCCAAGTTCATGGGAAGTCAGGGATCCAGGGTCTGGCAAAATGCACAAGAAATCAGGAGCACAAAATTGTAAAGAGAATTCTAGTCCTCAGGGTGCCGCAGAGTTTCCAGATCTGGGAGTTCTGGGCAGGGGAGTGACAGGGTGGGAAGAATGAGCCCAGCTGTCCTGGGACAGAACCAGTGGAGTGAGGGGGCCACAGCCACGCGACCACCTGAACGTGCCCTTCCCCTGAAGCACACCGAGAGGGGCAAGTTTTAGCACTTTTAGAGATGTGGCCATGTGTTCCCCTGTTCCCCAAACCTGCTCCCTCAGGGAAAAAGGGGTCCCTAGTGGTCAGATTATTTCTAAAAGCTGGTAATGTCCCCTGCAAAGGGAAAGCAAGCTTTCTCTAAACATAGTCTCTCCTTCTTCAGGATTCTCACTGTTCTCCGCTTATGTTCCTGCCTACTCCCAAATGCCTGGAATTCATTTGCTAGGAAGCCTTTCATTTCATCCTTGGGGATAAAGACGAAAAACGAAAACGTTCCTAGCATAGGCAGCATATGAACTGAAACACACCAAAGATGGAGTTCCCAAACTATGCCAAGGTATGCCCAGGTATACCCCCGGGGTGCCCCAGCAAGGTATACCCCCGGGGTGCCCCAGCAACCTCAAAGGGCCATGCAGGCTATTTTAAATGGTTGAGAGAAACATAGTGACATCTGTTGGATGTTCTGCAAACTACAAGCTTGAGGTAATTCATGGATTCAACATTAGATGGCTGCACTTCTGATAATGGACAGCTCTATTGGGTCGGGCTTTCAGTGATTGCTATGATGAAAAAGCAAGTATCGTGTTAAAATCAACATGGAACGGGAAACGAGGTCTGATCTGATTCCGAGGTTCGAGAAGTTGGGTGGTGCCCAAAAGGTGCTAAAGTATTAGGACAAATACTTATTTTTTGGAGCTAGGGTAGTTCCTTCTTATCCACGGGGGGTATGTTCAGGACCCCCAGTAGATGCCTGAAATCACGGATAGTTCTGGGCCCAAATATACTATGTTTTTCCTTATACATACATACGTACCTGTGATAAAGTTTAATTTATAAATTAGGCACAGTAGATGAACAACAACTAATAATAAAATAGAACAATATAATGATACATTGTAATAAAAGTTATATGATTATGGTGTCTCTCTCTGAAAATATCTTCTTATAACGTACCCGCCCTTCTTGTGATGAGATGGAGTGAGAGAAATGTCACAGACACTGTGACCTAGACTTCAGCTACTACCGACTTGACGATACCTCAGAAGGAGGACCATCTGCTTCCGGACTGCGGCTGACCACGGGCAACTGAAACCGCAGAAAAAGGGAGACCACTGTACTCAATGCACAGAACTGTCTGGCATTGGTTTTGGCCTGTGGGTGCTGTGAATAGTGACAGAGATGCTGAGGGTGCCGTGCACAGAGAATGTACGGGAACCCCTGCGTACAGTATGCATGGCTGATACTGTGCCCTTTCCTATGGGCAGGTTTGATAGCTGGCTTCGTGAGGGAGGCTGGGGGCACAGTCAAGGTAGGACACGAGACAGATGGGAAGAGGAGATTTGACACACCACATTTCATGACTTCATACTTTGCTTGCAGCCTTAGACCTGACCAGGGACATTTAAGGGCTGCCTCCAAGCTGGGACCATACCCACTTCTCCCCAAAACACATCTGGCTCCTCCTTTGGTCCAGGACATACCTTGAGAGACAGCTCGAGGTTTTCACCACCCTGCAGGGACATGAGAGGGTCATACGCTCCAGTGTTTTGGAAGTAATGTCTGTCGATGGCAACAACCCCGCTGGGCACCACAGGGCTCCTGCGCAGAGAGAAGATGGAACAGATGGCAGTTCAGAACCCTGAGCTTATCAGGAAGGCTTACTATGCGGGAGCTCCAGTGGCCGAGAGAGAGTGGGCTATGGGCCCAGATAGACCTCGATGCTTTTAATTGCAAGACCAGAGCCAAGCAACCATGTCAAAAATCCCAGTATTTTATGAGAAGAGAGTTATGGTTGCCTGGGTCCTTTCACCTCCTAAAGGGAGGGACACGGGGCTGCACCCCAAGTTCCCCTACCCTCCGGCTTGAGTACCTCTAGAGAAACCTTTGGGAAGAAGGCCTTGTTGACATAATGCACCTTAAGGCAGGTAGCACCAGGCTAGGGAAACAAGGGAAACAGTCCAGCTTTTTCTTCCCACATGCCAAGGTGGGACTTAGGCAGATACTGAGGGCAAGGTGCAGGCGGCTGGGGGCCTGGTGTGCCAACCTCTGGCCAGAGGCCATGACCAGTGAAAGTGCATGGTGGTGAACAACGATGCGGGACAGCTTGAGCCCAACGTGGGGCAATCCCTTCCCCCCGATGCTGACCGCCACCCCCCCCCAGAAGCCTGGAGCTCAAAATCAACTTCAGGGAGACAGGGTGAGGGGACATGCCTGGATGATAGATTTAAATATGCGATCACTAAGCTGTCATGGAATTTGACTAATTTGCAGGGACGTTTTCTGCTGTTAGGTGGAAAGAGGGGTTAAGATAGAAATGACCTAAGTCCAGGTATTAGAAAATAAAGACAATTTTTTTTTTGCACTTCTAAGCTTATGGCTTATCAGACTTCTGTTAGAGTCACACTCCCTTGGGCAGACCCTTGGGAAGGCCTGTTTGTGCCTAATGCCTTCCTACCGTGTCCCTGTACTAGGGGCTCAGAAACCAGCTGGATAATTGGTGAGCGTTGGGCACTGTATAATGGAGATGGACCATGGCTAATGGAGGTCAACTGCCCAGAGGGGAACATCACACGATCCCTTGTCCCACAGGCGCTCCTTACAATGTGACATTGACATTGCTTCCCCTGAGGGGTGGGGTCTGTGTCTCCTTCCCATGAACCTAGGTGGGTCTGTGATTTTTTTGGAAGTGACCCTGGGTGAATTCTGAGGCTTGGTGAGAGAAGGGGATACGTCATCTAAAACATTATACTGAGTGAAAGAAGCCAGACATGAAAGGTCACACATCATATGACTCCATTTATATGACACATCCAGAATAGATCAATCCATAGAGATAGACAGTGGTTGCCAGGTGCTGGGGGGAGGAGAGGGTGGGAAACAACACTTAACAGGTATGGGATTCTACTTTGGAGTGATGGAAATGTTTTGGCACTAGATCGAGGTGGTGTTTGCACAACTTGCGCTACTTGTTATGAGATTGTTCATTTTTAAATGGCTCATTTGTGGTATGTGAAATTCACCTCAACAAATTATTTTTTTAAAGGGGGAGGGGGATAGAGCTTGTTTCACCTGGCCATCTTAGGATACTTAGTGTCAGAACCCAGTGTCACGGTGTAGCAAGCCCCAGGTGCAGTGACCTGATGGAGGGTGAAGTTCCCGTGGAGGTCCCAGCTGATGACCGGCATCAATCCTCAGACATTCGATGGGCCTCAGGGCCGCCCCCCACCCCTGCTGCCATCTTGAGCTATTTCCTGCCATCCTGAATACCATGGAGCAGAGACCACCAACCCTGGTGCTCTCTTTCATGATTCTTGACCCACGGAATCTGTGAGCTTAATAAAACTGTTGTTGTTCTACACCACTAAGTTTGGGTGGTTTGTTATGCAAAAGAAGATATCTAGAACATCTTCTTAAATAGAATAAGCTTCCAAAACCCAAACATGCCCCAACACCAGAGCAAGCAAGCAACTCATAGAATTTGATATATTTGAGAGTTAGGGTGTCTTAACATTCACCTGACCGAATCCTTCCTTTTTAGCAAGAAAGTACCTGAGGTTGGGGAAATTCCAGTGTTACCTGGAGAGGTAGAGTTAGGTCAAGATCCCAGCTTGGGTTCTCTCACTGCCCCACACCGGGGTGTTCACTGAAGAAGCTACTTGAAAGAGCTTAAGCTGGACTCCATTCACTTGAGAATATAACAATAATAACACTGAGGTTTGAGTGCCTGGCACTCTCTCTGCTTTTCATGTAGTGACTATTTCAATCTTCCCGACAGCCCTGTTTTACCCTCAATTCACTGATGAGGAAACTGAGGCACAGATTAAGTAACTTGCTAGAAAACAGGTGGGGCCAGGATTTGATCCCAAGCAGTTTGATCCCGAGTCCTTCCTGAGGAAACAAAGAAGAAGCAGGCCGTGTGAGGGCCTCACCTGACGGGGCTGATGGGGGATTGGAGGGTCTTCCTTTCTCGCTCTGGCAAAGGCTCCCAGTGGAAATCCAGCTTCCAGTCCAACACCCCACGCTGCAGGTCCTTGGAGGGGTAATACTGGAAATTCTTCCAGTCAATCACATCTATGACTGGAGACACCACTCGGCTCCTGGAAAAAATTGTGGAATCAAATAAGGGATAAAAACCATTCACTTGCTGGGGGATAGAAGCGTAATCTACACTCGTGCTGCCTAATATGGCAGCCAGTATCCACAAGTGGCTAGCAGGCACCTAAAATATGGTCTGTCTAAATCGAGATGTAGTAGAAATATAAAAAACACACTGGATTTAGAAGACTTAGTATGAAAAAAAGCTGTAGAAATCTCAGTAATTTTTACATTGATTACATGTTGAAATGATAACATTTTGGATATAGTGGGCTTAATAAAATATTATTAAAATTAATTGCATCAGGGGCACCTGGGTGGCTCAGTCATTAAGTGTCTGCCTT